TATTCTCAGTCCTTAGAAACCTTTTCTTCCTCAATTCTCGCTAGATTTTCTCATAGCATCCAAACGACTCGTCACTAACCTCGTGTTCATGGCGCTGTTGGTAGGAAGTATCTTCGATCTGGCGATAGCTGCTTCCTTCGGGTTCTTCCTGGCAAAATTTCTCCAGATTCAGTTCAACATACCGGCAGCTCAGTCTTCCTTATTCGTTGGTATATTGCCATCAACCCATGTTGTCCCAGTAATACTAAAGTTATACATGTCGGAACCGTTAAGAACTGTATCAAATATTTCAATACATGTCCAAAACAAAAGACAACTACGTGTTCGGTTATTAAAGCGAGGAGGTCACTATTAACCAGCAAAGTTTGGAGTAAGAATCTAAGACAAGTAGCAATGACTAGTTCTCTGAATTTTATGTCAACTGACAGAATACCATTAACCATTCGTTGTCACTGAGGATGTAAACCATTTGATGTATGGACATAAAAACTTCAATCTGATGTCCTCGTGTCCTTCCCCTCTCCAAGGTATTATCATTACGCCTGGGGCCTTCCTTGGCAACATTTTTGGTGGATTACTGGTCAAGAAGCTCAACTTGGATTCCAAAGGATGCGGCAAGGTTGTTCTGACACTCGGTGTGATAAGCATGTGCTTCGTACCAGTCGTATACTTCCTTTCATGTCCCGAACCAACTTACGCCGGCAATATGAACGGGGTAATCAGGTGAGAGAGTGGTCAAACCACTGCTTAAACATGTCTCATTCTAAAGTTAGAGCAGCTAACGTAATATTTACGTGCGCTCTCCAAGTAGTATCGCTTGCTGGCATTGCCACTCGAAGTCCTGGAGAACAAGATGGCTCAGACTGCTAGAAAGGTAGAATAGCCAAAAGCGTACAAACAAGTCGAAACTTGCAATTGGCCAACACAAGCTGCTCGAGAAAGGGCGTCTGTTGTCAGCACGTCTCCACGTCTCAGTGGCAGACGAACACCGAGATGTAGCTCTGCCTCAGCCAGTCAGTGAATGAGTTGAGATATTCGTTTTAGACAGAGACGCGTACAGAGAGATTTACAATATTAAAGGAAATTTACTCCAATTAGTCCATTATCTTTCATTCGCGTAGCACAACCAACCCGTGCAACGAAGATTGCAAATGCTCCGCCGGGCGATATGAACCAGTTTGTGGCCATGACGGACTGGTATACGCCACACCGTGTTTTGCTGGCTGCACTGGGAAGCAAGAAAATCAGACAGACGACCCTAATGTCAATCTCACGGTAAGAAAGCAACTACTTTCTGGTTTCAACTGCGGCCTTTTTCATCTGTATCTAACCTATTGAAAGAAAATTAATGATTTCAGAGAAGCACTGGGTTTGATGTTACGTGTATCGTGAAAAAAATTAAACTAGGGTTTTAAAGTATAAATACACTACTGGTTGCAACGATATATAAAGGGGGAAAAAACCCTTTGCAATTCTTACAGTAATTCCAGACTATTTGGATTGTACTGTATTATTCTCCACCCATGCGGTATAGAATGTGTATAGTATTAAAATATGCGTATTTACATTTTAGGCGACTTTTAACCCTTCTTTCATGTAAGCAGTGACGGTTTCTAGGCCTCGCTTGAAATGCATAGCAATCGTGTAAAGTGTGCTTGTGAAACCAGTCTGAGCTGAAGGGTTGACCTGTACAATTGATAACCTGATAGGCCCTATCAAATTATGACCTGGTTGTCAGTTGTATTCAGAAGGCTTGGAGCTTGACTTCAAACATGAAAAGTTGTGGTAACAGGATTAGCTATGGATAACAACCGAAGAATACATTACTTGAGGCTGGGTGCATGAGACACACCAAATAACATGGAGCCCATAAGTTTCACTCTTCCCTCGTACGCAGTTCTGAGGAATTCACCTCAAATTGAGTGTAACCTGGAAAAATGGAACACTAATGAAGAAATATTCACTAAATAGGTGTCAATTTAGGACAAATCGCCAGGTCCTTCTAAACAAATGAGACAGGACAGAAAAGTCTATGATCTCATGAAAAACAAAATGTGAAAAGAAAGAACTACTTTAGTGAACAACCGAGAAACCAATTTGTTAAATAACTTATTAGCCAACTGTGAACTTGAGGAAAACCTCTCTTCTGGGACTACAGGTGAACAAATATATAACCCAAAAATGAAAAAAAAATCAACCCCCTCAAAATGGAAGTTTCCTCAGACCCTAAACCTAAGACTTGATTAAAGATCACCTCTAAGGAAAACATGTTTTCTCTCATTTTACCTGTTCAAATAAATATGGAAGCATTCAAATCGAACGCAGTGTTATTTGTCTTCAGAGCTCAACTATAACAAGCTTAAAAAAGGAATTTTTTTCTGTTCATGTAAAGATGCGAATTCTGAATGTTATTTACGTCATTCGAAACAGAGAAAACGAGGGGAGCTCTCACCTTGTGTTCGTATAAACCCTTCTGCATGCCCAACAATGGCCAAGGGCTCATCCATCGTAGTTATAGTTGAGCTCTAAAGACAAGTGACACTGCGTTCGATTTGGATGTTTCCATATTTATTTGAACAGATAAATCAGAGAAAGCATGTTTACATAGAGGTGCTCTTGAAACTTCATTAGGTAGTCTAAAGAAACAGAATCAGGTACTAAAAAACTTTAAATACCCAAAGCAAAACCCCACACAGTATCAAGGAAAGGCACAAATCGATTCTAATCAAATTTCAACAACCTGTGGAGAAAAGAAAAATGGAAAACTTATAAATGAATGTTACAACAAAGAAAAATTCAGTGCATTAAGCAATTAAAGCATTGAAGGCTAGTACATGTGCATGTACATGGGAAGCTTAATACTTATCATAACTTTCAGCCAACCACATGGCAATAATAAGTACAAACGTTTACACATATGCCAAAAAATCATGACTAAAATAGTCAAGAATAACATGGCAAGTTTAAATCTGTTCATACATCTCCAGTCACTTTGATTCAAGTCATTAAAAAAGAACTTCCAGCTCCTAACTTCCTTCCACTTTCAGCATCTCAAGACCTCACTATGAACTCACAAAACCCATTGTCTCCAAAGCAACCTTACGTTAGAAACATTTTCCTAAAAGAATGCTTGAAAAATGAAATCGAAGAGCAACAATAGGAACAATTCGATTTTATCTCTCAAAACACGTGAACTTCTAAAACATACCAATTATCCAAAGAAACAAAAACTTCCTTTAAAACTTCAATTAAAATACATATCCTTCCTACAGTGCATTAACGAAGGAAAAGAACATTCAAGTAGCCCAAGGATCAGAAATAATTAAACAGCTTATACGGCTGGGCTAATACTGCGCAACTCCTAGAACTCAGGTCAGGTTTTACACATCTTCAGAGCAGACTTACACATGTGCACCCTTGGCTGCTTAGAAGACAAAGACCCTATGCATGTCTAGTCATAGAGCTGAATGCTCCATAAACACTTCATACAGGGGTACACACAATTCCAGATTTTGCTGGGTAAACGGGGGCACCACTCCTATCTAGCCACGTGTGATACAAAAAAGATGAAATTTACCTCTGCTACGTGAGCATGGATTAAGAACTTAAAGCGCAGTGGCTCAAAAACAGGCTATGTCATGTACTGTGCAGCATTGTTGGTAACACAAGATATTGCTATTGTTCGTATGTCATTTGTTGCGCCAAAATATAGGTCTACACTGGATGTTCTTGTAGCGCAGCCAATGCAACAGACGAGTTCTCAAGACAGGCGATAGCGGGTTCTTGTGAGCAAACATGTAACATGGTGTATTACGCTGCAGTTTTCCTCTTCTGCCTCGTCACAGTTGGGACGCCGGCCAAGAATCCCTTGCTCATGATGACAATGAGGTATCTTTTTATAACTTCTTCCACAGCGAGAGCAAATCAGTTATCATTGCTGTTTCATAATAATAAACCACTGCAGCAAGTCAGTAATGCATTCCACCGTTCTTTGCCGCTTAGCGCGTACGATTTAGTGTGAAACTACTATCAGAGTGCACTTCCCATTTCATTTCAACAGGAGTGTTGGAGACGATAAGACCTACGCTCTCGGAATACAGTCTCTGTTTGGTCGAGCTTTAGGTAAATTTCTTCGAGTTTGATTATCTTGTGTGGGTTTCGTGTTCATATTGTTTTGGTGTCATGCACACTCCCCAAAACAGCGTCTAGAGCTTAAACATTTTTTGGTGTACCCACATTTTAACACGTTTAATACGTGGCCTGTTCACCGGAATGTATTTAAATTTTAAATGTTTTCTCCATGGTACATGTTTTTAGATTTGTGAGATCAACTTAGCATTTAAACACATTCCTAAAAATATTTCTGTACAACGTCTGTGCATGTCAAAGGTGAAAAAGTATAAAAAAGGGGGTGCATATGAAGTGTCAGAAATGTGTTAAACTCCAAGCGCCTTCTGCAGTGTAAGGTGTGAGCTTCCAGCCTTTACCAGTGTCGCTGTTAGCCTTGACTGTTCCCCGTAACAGCTCGCCCGTGGCTTCATGGGTAATACAGTCAACTAGACCACACTATGGAGAGTCCGGATTGTGTCTGCTGTGGTCGATCACTTTTACCAGTTTGAACAACTTTCACGGTAGCAAAGTTTTCAACTAGTTTTTCAACTTCACAATACCACTAAAACGTGTCACAGGAAAAGCCAGGGATCCTGTTGAACAGTTCAATGCCCCTGCAAAGCTTCCAGTTGAAAGGAATTTTATGTAAAGTACGTCCATTGATGGCGTTTGTAACTTTTCTAACCTGTTTGCATCAGGGTTCCTACCAGCTCCGCTGTACTTTGGTGCTGCGATCGAAGGCGCCTGTATTCTAGACCGAATCGAGTGTGGCGTCGCTGGTGATTGTCTCATCTACAACACCCAGCTCTTCCGCATAATCTACCTCGGAACCTTCTTCGGCTTGCAAGTAAAAATTACAAAATAAAAAAGGAATCACCGAATTAACCATTTCATGTTTTCAAGCTTGGCTTTTGAGGTGCATACGCGACCAAAAGTAATGGAAGTTATTGTTTATCAAACGAAACCAATTACAATTACTTTCACGGCACTCCACTTGAAAAGGATCCTCTATAACTCAAAGGACACGTTTTAAGAAACACCCGTCCTTTTATTAAAACCTCCGAGGCCACACCAGCTCTGAATTTGACAATATATCAGATGTTTACTGAATCATATAGATCAAACCGACAAGAACCTTATCCCTTGACTGATATTCATCAGGTTGGATCGTGGATTTGCTATGTAGCTGCCACGGTGGGAGTGTTCAGGAATTCCCGGAAGGAAAAGGAACAGGAAGACCACGCAGAAGAACTTCAGGTACGATGTAGGCCTTATCGTGAGTTTAAATATCTCATTTGTTGCCTTACATCTAATCTTTCTAGTCTAAAAGCTCTTGGGCAAACGCAAATGGGCAAACTTGATGATCTTTTTTTTTTCAGAAAAAAAGGTTTAAAAACAGAAATTAATCTTTCTTTAAAAAGCTCTTCTATTAGTTGATAAATCTACCAACATAAATCCAATAATTTGATCAGTTCTCTCTCGCATTTTCATACAGATGTTTTATCAAAAGTTAGCCAACATTTTGACACTGCAGACACCTGCAAATTTTTGTCTTCTTTATACTGATTAAAATACTGAAGTCATTTTTGCCAATACCTTTCCCATCGCACGATACTAAACAGGAGTCAGCGTAACGAGTCTGATTTGTTCTTATTTCAGGATGGTGCCATGCAGAGCGGGCTCAACGGAAACTACAACAAAGGCTACGAGGTCGACTGCGAGGTGGGGACACAGACTGATTTCACCAGTCTGTGATCCAATCGTGACCCCTCAGCTTATCAACCTGCTCAAAGGCAGCTTTTACAACAATGACCCCTGCCCTGGCCAATCAACGACATGCCATGTGCGTAAAACTAAAACAGATAAAAATCTGGGCATCGTGAAAAGTTTCTTCCATTGATTTAGAGGTGTATTCCCAAATAAACATCACAAAACAAGCACAAATGATTAGGATTTAGACCAACTGACTGGCTTCCACACGTTGCATTTTTTGAAACACAGTGGAACACGCCAAAAACAAAATTCTCATCAAAGAAGCTCAAAAAAATTGATTGTTAATGTTGTTCAAATAACAAAGAAAAGTTGAACTCAAGCAAAATCTGGTACAAAGGTATATAAAGTGTCGATGGTTTTGAAACAATTTAACAAAATGTTATCAAAGCAAAACATCAATCGTATCTCTCCAACACCAGCGCCGACGAAAAATATGGTTTGGTAAAAGCAACAAAAAAATCAGTCACCGTTATTTAGAAAATGTTGCATGAGACCGTTAGCAGGGCATGTTATTTCGAATGTTTACCTTCTTGTATTTAATGTATACCTGTGAAGAAATATATCTGGGTTGGATTTTAAGTAGGGCCTTACGGCCTTTAGAATAAATCTTACGGTGCTTGAAAGACGATATTTTCCTAAGAGTTGGTAAACAGATTGCTCACGGGTACCTGAATGAGGTTTTTATTTTAGGCTCAACCGAACAAAGTGAATATTGAACCAATAAAAATAAAATAAAGAATAATTCAATGATTCGTTAACCGCCAAAGCGCGTTATAAAACTTCACCTAACCTCCATGCATAACCACTTAGTTTGAATCTAAATTTTAACCCCGCGAGGCAATCTGAATTTTTACTCACACGGTCTCGGGAGCGGACTATTCCGTTGAGTCCGTTTCAATTTTCAGGGTTGCAGAGCCCTGCGTCCGTCTTAAAGGTATATTAATGCACCAAAAGTACATCACAGTACCGTGGGGGGCCGTTTTCCCGGGATATTCCAATTTAAAAAGGGCCTCGCCACGCGCCAGCCAAGCCATACCACCACCACAACACCCCCAACCAAAATAACACTTCAGAGACAGCCGAAACAGGCCTCTGACAAGTTCCAGACAGCTGTCACTGATAAAAAGCATTCCACTGCCTGCCCCAGGCACCGTTTTGTAAACAACCCATTAGATTGTACACAAGGGACCACTTAGCACACAATCCTATGGGAATTGGCTGGAGGCTGGCTCAAGGCTGTCTGGGTTTTTTTGCATTTTTTCTGGCTTGGGGAGGCCCCGGCTGTAAAGTGACTAAACCAGATTTTTCAGCATGTACAGGGGTAGGATATGATAAATAGTCGTTGCATTTGGAAGAAAAAAAATTAAACGTTAATTAGCTCTAATGGACTCGCCAAAAGAGGACGTTTCCTCTACCACTTCAGTAATTTTGGATCAAAGTTAGCATGCCAGCCTGCTAGAAAGAAAAGCAAAATTCCCGAGGTTTTTAAGACAAAAGGCCTCAGTTCTTCTATGATTTTTTGGTTTGCTTTTTCATTTTCAAATTAATTCTATCGAACAATACCTGAAAAACCTTTTACCTTAAGCTTTAATTTCACTGTTTTCTTTCTAAAAATACTTCTGCACATTGTACGGTATTTTTATGTTCTTTGATACAGCTTATTCTAATTTTATATTTACACATATTCTGGCATTTTACTGCGTCATTTAAGTGAAAATGTCTCCACTTTTAATATTTTATAATAGTCTCTTTAATTTCAATAAGCACTTTAATATATAAGAGGATGGTATGTTTATATTATATGAGCTTGAATATCGTCTTTTATTTAATTTACACTTGTTATACAATCATATATATTCCTTTCAACCTTTTGAAATAACATTTCGAAACTTGAACTTTTCATTAATTTAATGAGACCAAGGTTTTGCAGTTACTAATCGTTCTTTCACTCAGTTTGTTTGGATTTCCATTATGTTTTCAGTAACATTAGTGGGGGGAAACAGGATTTTGCCCTTTAATGTAAAGTAAGTATGTCTGTAACGTGTGCTCACCGACTCATGGAAAAGCCCTTTAATGAACGCCGCTGTATCCGGGGAGAAAGCTCCTTACTCATGTAAACGATGGGTACATCCGCTTACTATAAGGTAGTGCCGCTCATGGCACTTCTCAGGAATAACAGTAAATAAACTATGAAATGAAGACTTCCGGTCCATGTAAACATGGCTTACTTTTTGGGCTGTCTGGGATATTTTAAGGGGATCGGTTGTTTACCTTTTTGTACGTTGTAGAGACCACTTGCGGATTAATAGAATAACTTTGTCTGAGTACATATTTGGCCGCCAGCAGAGCTGTCGCTCTCTCTGTCTTCCACGCTGCAGAGGTCGATCACAATGAAAGGTTGCTGACCCGTTTGACCCTAAAATTACCTGTTTGGGAGATCAATGTGTGCGCTATCCGTATACTGACGGTAAGCTTGTAGCTTATCCCTTCTGGTAATGGGATTTGAGTTGAGTAAATCAATTATTAAGAGGTGTATTTTCTGGCTGTTTTACTGATCGTTATTGGAACGTTCCGACATGTGTAACGTGCACTATGCATGCAACCAACTCGTGTACATATTTATTGCAGTAGCCTGACTGTGGGTGAAAGAGCACGCTGGCTTGGGGGGTTTTCTTTTCCGTTTACCACCGTGGCTGGGCTGGGGTTTGCGTTCACTACTGTAATATTGTTCTGGTTGACTGCCGATGATAGTTCCTGATATCATCCTGGGCTGGGGAACAACTACGGAATAAAGCCTGGTCAAGAGCATACCGTACCCCTGTGGCGTTGAGTCATTTCTCGAGTGGTACACACCCTCGTCACACCGAGGTGGAGTTCACACCCCCCTCTCCTTGACAGGAGCCGACCCGCCCCTGTTCCAAGACGTTAGTAAAGTCTCAACCGCCTTTCATGAAACTGATATAAGACTAACTTCATTGCTGGCTTGCTAGCTTGCTGGCTGGCTGGCTGGTTGGCTGGCTGGTTGGCAGGCTGGTTTTAGCGTTGCAAGTCACCGAGTTTAAATCACCAATTTGAGGCGCAACTTCGAAAGAAAGTGGTTTAAAATCTTTAGATTCTGTAATATCTTTTTCCAGTGTTCTACTTCAATGGAGGTGAGGATAAAATAAATGGAACCCCCCATTTAATGATGCCTCCTGGAGCCAAAGACAAGCTTCCCTGAAATTCTTTCAAAGCCCCCTTTTTGCCTTTAAGCGCGTTTTTTTATTTAGGTAATTCAAGTTTGAAAGTACAGCGTATTTCCACACAGAGTTTCCTGTTTATTTTGCTAGCACGTTGCCTACGTTCACAAGGACATATTGATCTTCATGGCGTTGGGCAAAATGCATTAAACCTACGTCATACCAGTCCGCTCAGGTTGTTTCCTTTTTATACTGACACAAACGGTTGCTTGCCTTGGTTTTAGCAACGTAATTCACCAAGTTGACCTCACCAATTACATCTTTAGATTCTTTAATTTCTTTTTTTCTGGTGTTCTTCTTTCGTGGAGATGAGAAGAATATGAATGAAATCCTCCATTTAATGATGCCCCCTACAGTGCCAATGACAGGTTTCCCTGAAATGCTTTCAAAGCCGACTTTTGACCCTACACACATTCTATGACTTAGGTAATTCAAGTTTGAGCCCACAGCGTATATCCACACAGTTTCGTGTTTAATTTGCCAGCGCGTTGTTTACGTTCACAAGGACATATCGATTCAAATTCCATTCTTCATGGCGTTGGGGAAATACACAAAACCTATAGAAATCAACAACGGTTGCTACGTTATACCAGTCCGGACAGGGTGTTTCTTTTCATCCTGACATAAACGGTTGCTTTAGAATCATGCAAATGAGTATTTCTAGAGTCGAGATTCACTGTGTCTAGCTCACTGTGTCACCTGGGGCCCACATACAAAAAACTTTTGAGGGAAAGTGGAAGTTTGCATTTTGATATCTTCGTTCTTGACTCTCTGAGTAACTGATATCCTGTGCAGTGATGCTGTAGTCTTGCAGTGCCAAGTGCTGAAATCTCGTAAATTTCGGACCCGGACGCCATCAAAGTTATGACCACTGATGATGCAGTGTATAAAGCATTTTTCCCAAAAACATTTTAACTATTTCAAGCACTTCAGGAATACAGACACATTTCCCAATCCTCACTTTTAACATGATCATTTGCTTTTACTCGTAGAAACTTTCATCTTTTCAATTACCACTGGCGTACCTCGCGTAAATGGCGTATCCAATTAATCTGTGCAATCAACATCCCTAAAACGCGTTATATACCTCTATAAAAAAAGCAAGCGACGAAGTTACAATAGTCATCGTTTTCCAAACGCTCATATTTGCAGTATTTGGTAGTTCACACTGTGGATGTCGACCAATTCGATAGATGTCCCAACTTTCTTGAACGTGATCAATGATGCAACAAGCCGTTCGCTCTCTTTGCCCTTAATATGTGGAATAACACGTTTCAACACGGTAACACCGCAAAACACCGACGCGAGCCTGTATGGGATGGTCGGAGGGCCCCTGTATGTTGAGCAGCGAAAACCTCCAAAAACGGAGCTCTCTTAGACTTGGATCAGTCCTTCCTACTGATACGCTAAAACGCAGATAAGAGAGTAGGTGCCCATTTTACTGGACGCAAAGCAGCTATCTTTTTTCATGCATTAGATTAAAGGGCAGCCACATTCGAACAAACGTCAAAAGCAAGTTGTGAATTCCTTGTACAGTCTGTTTTATATTTCACAGGAGCTCTAACTTTCCGGACATTAATTTCTTCCACTTTGTAGCCTATTAATTTCATTATAATAGTTTATGTTGATAGGGCTCTATACATTCACATCAACACGATGACAGTTTCTTTAATTGTTGTATTGTTCTCCCCAGCCTCTGGTCAAGTTCCTTTGATTGTCTGAAAATTTAAATTAACAAAAGGTTCCAAGTCTTAGGCACTAAAAATTGGTATCGTGACAAAACAGGAATGAAGACCGCCCAGGATCACACGAACGTCAGTGTGGTCTGCATGGCGTTAAATTCTGTTTTATGGCAACAAGTCCAATATTCATTATTCATAACTCACGTCGAGGCATAAGCCCTTTGGTCAGCACTGTGGACTGGGGAAAAAGTAGATTTTTTTTTTATTAAACATGTCACAGCTGTGACAATCACTGTTTTGCTCAAGGTTAACCAATCGAGTTACGCGAAGGGCTCGTGTTGTGCTTTGCAGCCAATGATTGAGAGACTTCTCCAGTCAATCCGAAAGGAAAGGGGCATGGTTTCAGCGTGTAGTGACTAACTTTGGTCAAATATCAAAGCATATACAGGCTGGAGTTCTTTTAATAGGCAGGTCACTGGACATTTCTCCTTTATACATCAACTGCACTAAGCACTCAGTCGCCGGGTGTATAGTTGTTCTCATCTCCACGGTAAGGTAACGTATTGTGGTTTCTTGATAAGTGAAAGTGTTTTGCAAACCCATTAGGCCTACTTTAAAACTTCCAATTTTGAAACTTACGAAAAACTAGCAGTACAATTAAAAATTGTTCAAGCAAGAGTTCATGACTACTGAATCAAAGCTGCAATGTATGTTACATAAACTGCTCTAACTTTTTTCTTTTGACTTCCAGTGCTTGATCCAGTCACGGGCCCGTTCTTCGTATTGTTTCTATTAATGTGTTACAAGGCTTGAAATAATGGGCTTAAATTTCTTCAATCGTCCGTGGGCTTTCGGCATGGTCTTTGCCCTTTTCACCTGCTTTCAAGCGACCATAGGGCTGTACATTGCCGGTGTCCTCACCACCTTGGAGAGGCAGTACCGGATCACCACCTCAGTGGCTGGATTGGTGCTCTCCACAAGCGACTTCGCCAGCCTTGTCTCCATTGCTTTGGTGTCGTACGTTGGTGACACATGGCACCGTCCACGCATTGTCGGTGTGTTTGGTATATTGACTGCAGTTGGTGGGTTCTTGAGCGGAGTCCCGCACTTCCTATACCCGGCGTACAGGGAGGAAGACACCCTGTTGCCCAGTGGAAATGGCACAAGGTGAGTAGGAGATTGGTAACAATTGTAGGTAACAATTGAAATCACGTTCCTCGTGTCGATAACTTGGCAGTTAAGTTTAAAAAAAACTTTAGTCCACCTGACCAGAATACATGTATTTGTGTCATTTAAGGGGACTGAAATTTCTTCCCACTACTGCGAGTTGTTGTTTCTCTCTGTCTCCTTTGGTTCCAGTTCCACTATTTTTGAATGCGATCCCACGAGGGAAGAGGAGACATGTTCCGCAGATGACATCAATCAATCTGGCTCCAGGCTTCATGAGATGTGGGCTCTATTGTTGGGTCAAGCTCTCATGGGCTTTGCCTACGGACCGTTGTTCCCGATCGCTCTAACCTACATTGATGACCAAGTCAAAGGTACAACCACACCTTACTACATCGGTGAGTATTCACGTGTGTGCCGTTAGTGGTTAGGCAGCCCCACGCCGTTTTTGACCCAGGTATGATATTCTCTCAGAGAACTTAAACATTAAAACAAACCGCACGCCCACTCAAGTTAGCTCCCGCTGATTGACACAGACGAATGACATACAGAGCCTGCTAGTGCTAATGAAAGTGTCTGTATCAAGAACAACATTCTGAACTTGACGTGCTAAGAAGATCATTAGTGAGATTTCATTTACGTTACTTCAACAACAGACTGGCTGCAATCAGGAACTGAACCTGTTTCTTCTACTTCCTGTTTGTTCAGCTGCTATCCTGACGGCTGGTACAAGCGCTACCCTGGTTGGGTTCGGAGAAGGTTTTCTGTTCCTAAGCTTGTTCGTCGACTGGCCAGAGCAATTCGATGGCACTAAGGAGTGGCTGGGCGCCTGGTGGATGGGCTTTATCCTGAACGGCATCATCATATTCTTCATCTCCATCCCCTTCTTCTTTTTCCCGAAGGAGATGGATGTTGAGATCGACGAGGATGAAATTCCGAAAGAGAAGTTAGCCCTCGAGGGCGAGGGCAAGACTCAAATATCCTTTAAAGGTGAGGTGCAAAACTCGACAGTAATATTCCTTTACATTTTTCACGCATTCTTCAACGCAGGTACTTTATACACACAGTAAAGTAGACGAAAAGGACTCCCACGCAACATTTAAACGGATTAGGCTCCCTGTTTACAGTTCCTTCTCCTCCATTTCTTCATACCACACCAGCCTTAGACCGAAAACTATTTTCTTTCTCCTTCATTATGGCAGAATTTCTTCGGACATCCAAACGACTCGCCACCAACTTCGTGTTTATGGCGTTGTTGATAGGAAGTATCTTCGATCTGGCGATAGGTGCCTCCTTTGGCTTCTTCCTGGCCAAGTTTCTGGAGATTCAATTCAACATACCAGCAGCCCAATCTTCCTTATTTGTCGGTAAGTTTTCAGCGGCCTCCCGAGTTGTAGCCGCATTATAATTTTCACGGAGACAGGTTCCTGGATATTCCCGACTTAAACATGGATTCCCTATGGAGACTTTTATAGTTGTAAAAGAAAACATGGCATGAAACGCATTCACATGTGAAGAATTGCAGATAATGCACACTATTCTGTTGTGACAACGATATTCATGTCACAGTAGGCCTACAACGAGTTTAAAAGCGATAATCAAATACAAATATCCGCTGGCAGGTCTCTGATACCTACCTCTTCATTGCCTTGGGAATGTTTACCCTTTAGCTCACCTTTACTATCATTTATTAATGAATGTGTGTCTTTTCCATCTAGGGATCATAATTACGCCTGGTGCTTTTTTTGGGAATATGGCCGGTGGATTTCTGGTCAAGAAGCTCAAGTTAGACTCAAAGGGCTGCGGCAAGGTTGTGATGGTGATGGGGGTTATAGTCTCGTGTTGCATACCCGTCGTTTATTTCCTCTCGTGTCCCGAACCAACGTATGCCGGTTACATTGATGGGAAGATCAGGTGAGAGGCCGCTGCCACTTCAGTTTAAATATCACTACATCTAACCTAAACATATACCGAGCGAAAGAACAACAGATTTGAATACCTTCACGCACACAATATAAACGAAAAGGTACAATTGCCTCAGTGTGCAGCAACTGGAATATTACCTGGCATCGTCTGCATAATATCACTGCGTGATGTATGGTTTTTAATTTTCATAGCACAAGTAATTTATGCAATGAAGGATGCACCTGTTCCGGCGGGCGATATGAACCAGTTTGCGGTTATGACGGACAAGTATACGCCACACCTTGCTTCGCTGGTTGCACAGGAAAACAGGAGAACGTGACGGATGACCCCACCGTTAATGTCACAGTAAAAAAACTACATTTTTCTCATGACAGGGAAAAGGGTTGATTTGGGAGGAGTATGTAGGCAAAGGCCGAGGGTGGGGTTTGCAGCACCAAAAGTCAGACCAAAAATGTAATGATGACAGCCAGTTTTATGGCTGTAACAGCAAATTGTATTGCTGAGGATTATGTCAATATGTTTTCCTATGCTGTAGTGTTGCAGGCAATGAAAAAAGGCACAAAATAATTGTCTTCCTTATTTTCAAATTGAACCATAGGTCTACACTGGATGTGCTTGTAGTTCAGCCAATGCTACGGAGGAGTACGCGAGACAAGCCGAAGCGGGTTCCTGCGAGAAAACCTGTAATATGGTGTATTATGCCGCCATTTTCCTCTTCTGCTGTGTCATATTTGGGACGCCGGCCAAGAATCCTTTGCTCATGATGACAATGAGGTTTCTTTTAAACTTCGTATTATTTACAGACCATAAGGAAATTAGATTAGGTGATCATCGTTTTCAAGAAGGGATGTATAATATGTGGTGCGGTTTCGAGTTTTTGGTAGTATTTGACCATTTTGATATGCTTCCTCGTCAAACATGCCACGGCAGGCATCTCGAAAAATGTATGATGCGTTTTCACGAAGCGACACAAATATGCCTGTCTCTTGAACACGCACAAAATCTGTTGCCCCGGAAAGGCACAAAAAGTATCAACTGAGATTTTCGTTTTCACGAAGGGACTTGAATCTTTGTTAAATTTTCAGTTGCACGCACGTACACGTAAATGCCGCTTCTTTATGGAAAAACACATTAAGCAGAAGGCGGTTAGTAGGAAAATGTATTTACGTTCTCACTAAGGGACTGGAATCCTCACTCATTAATTTTGGCTGATTACCCACTGTGTTTATATTAATTACTGGATTCACGTAAAAGTTTAGCTTTCAAAGAATCAGAAGGTTCCTCACCGTAAAACGTTGTGGCAAAGTAGGAGTGTTTAAAGTTTTCAAACCTGAACAAGTTTCTCTTTCAAGCGTAATTATTTCCAAAATTGTTTTGGTCAAATGTCCGTGAAAACGGTGACAAGAAGTTTCACACTCTATTGCTCAGGACAATTGAATGTTTTTCTAACTCAAGTTAGCTCCACCCTGGACCTTAAAAACACAAAATGATGATATTTTTTTATCTCAATAGGAGTGTTGGAGCAGATAAGACCTACGCTCTGGGGGTACAGACTCTGTTTGGTCGAGCTCTAGGTAAATACTGGCGCCTTGTCTCTGATTTATTCATTTGAAGGTTTTATTTTCATATTGTCCAGGTACCATCTTAGATCATAGTTAGCCGACATTGGTCTGTCCACTCTCTCCGCTGACATTAGTTCATGCGACTGTCAGAGAGTTTATGTATGAATTTCAAACAACACTGGGCATTCCATTTCATACCAAGCCAAACAATTATTAACATTAACAACAGTTTACGGGTTGGCAGCTTCCAAAGTCCCTTAAAACTTCGAATCACAACGGCACGTTCCACTGTATCACAACTATGCCGTCAAGGCCCAGCAGTTGTTTTAATTATAAAATTATGCATACAACATAAACCTCCACCTTGTACCAAAACTACAGGGTTGCACCTGATCAATTTTAAAAGGTCAACCTATCTTGCCTGCTCAACTTAGGGTTCCTACCAGCTCCGCTGTACTTTGGTGCTGCCATCGAAGGCGCCTGTATTCTAGACCGAATCGAGTGTGGCGTCGCTGGTGATTGCCTCATCTACAACGCTCAGCTGTTCCGAATAACCTTCCTCGGAATCTTCTTCGGCTTGAAAGTAAGAAAAATTTTTTAATTACACTGAGAACAGATATGTGCATCCAAAAGTGAACCTGCATTCTCTCTTTATCGCATAAATGATTTTTTTTTTAAATTAAAGTCCCCTTTCGTAAATTTTGATCAAATTCCAGGTCTTCTGTCAAAGCATCAAAACTAAGAACAGATCTTAGCGCAGAGTTTGACCCAACTCGACTTGAGAGGAATTTCATTATTTGAGTCCTATATCATTCTGCAGATCGCATCGCTGCTATGCTACGGTGCTGCTACGGTGGCAGTTTTCAGGATTGACAGCAAGGAGAAGAATGAGGCACAATATGAGGAAGGACTAAAGGTGCGAATTAACGACTGGTATTGATTCTAAATATTTCATCTTTACCGTAAACGCTTCGCTAGTCTCCAAGTCCATACTTTTACTGTTTTTACTGTTTTCGCATTACCACCAAGTTTAAGTAGGCCTACTGAATCTTTTTCTCTTTTGTGTGATCAATGTCACAAAATAGAAAGTCTATACATGTTCCAGTAAGTCGAATGCTCTGCAAAGTATCACGAATTAACGGTTGTTTGTGATGGTTAAATCCATGCCTTCCTCTTCCATTCCAACCCATGACATGATATTGTAACTTGCATGATCATACATATGCACGACGATATCATTTTCTATTTATATCCGCACTGTACCACTGTCTTTCCTATGGTAGGCCTACAGTTATGAAATGGAGCGTCATAATGAAAGTGCCATTTTGTCTTTTCAGAATGGTGAGATGCGGAAAGGGATCGAAGGGAAATACAACAAAGCCTACGAGGCAGACACCGAGGCGGGGACCCAGACTGACCTTACTAGTCTGTGATTCAAACTTGACATTTTGATTGATGAACCGGCTGTAAGGCGGTTTTTAAGCAATTCTCGCTGCCTAATAGACCAATATTTCAACAACAACAACAACAACAAAATCGGGATAATGCACGTGCGCGAGCCGCATAGGGCTGAGTTGAATAGGGCAGGCCGTCTGAATGACCTCGGACGCGCCTCATTTCAGGCATCTGCTGTTGGAATCCAGAACTGGCTCATTCTGATTGCATGAACTGATTGAACATCATCCCATATGCGCAAATCGTTGTCCAAACAAATATTTATAGCTTTCATTAGCAACTTTAAGGAAAACAAGGAAAACAAAAGTGGCAAATTGCATAGGAAGAAATCCGCAAAAATAAAACACGATTTTATAATTCACGTCAAAGAGCACGCAGACTTTCAAACTATGAAGCGCAATAAAAGGAAAGGTTGAAGACTGCGTAACACACAGCGACTGCGAGGTATACACCAGTTGCAGGTGCAGTTTAAGTCAAGTTCAAAATATGTTATTAGAGCTGACTAAAGAGCAAGACTCTGACAGAGCAACAAATGCGACAATTGGGCATTAATCAAGATCCACGATTCAAGATAATGTTATTGTCTGTATAAAAACAAAGAATTTCGCCTTCCACTGGCAAACGAAATGAAAATATGTTACCACATATCTAATGCATAAAGAATTACAAGGAATACATAGATAATGACTCAATTTATTAACAGAGTCAAAAAAACACGTGTACAAATCTTTATATAGGAAGATGGTGCACAACAGAAGTGTCACAATTCCATCGACAGTTGCGTGCTTTTTCATTTATGCACAGTAAATTTAAACCTCTCCAAATGCTTCGCATTTTTTCACGGGATTTTGTTTTATGTTTGTCACACGGACACTTGGAGTGAGGCTCACTTTGAATCCCTACCCCAAAAGTAAATATGTAAGATAAACAGAGCTTACTTTGTTACACACTCAACCAACCAAACTTTTTCCGGGGTCAAGGTCTTATGCAGAGGATAAATCGAACCTATAGAGCGGTGCGGATTAAACATCAGTGTTATCACATCGTTACGTTCACTTTGTTATCTTTTTTAAGAAATGTCTTTACGCTTACTGTTTTTCCTTTTTCTTCTGGGCAAGTGGAATGAGTTTTCTGGTTTACATCTATATCTACAGACCTATTCTGAATTTGGATTAAACAAAAATTAATCTATGTCTATGTGATTTTTGAATAAAGCTTATAAATTTAATGGCAAATATAACATTGAATATGAATGAGTAAATTTTGTTTGTCTAGTTAGATATATCATAGATAACAATTTCTATTTGTGTTCATGTGTTCTTTAGACTTGTTGCATACGTGTATATTTTTTAAAGAATTGCTGAGATTATTTAGTTACTACATATTCTCATTTAACCTCTTGAAACAGTTTTATACCCAAGGCTCCAACAATGGTGAAGCAACATTTTTGTGTGTTTCTTAAAATAATCCTGCTATTCCGTAACAATAAATAACTAGGATAAAGTTTGTATAATAGCAATTTTTATAATTTTTGTGCAGTAAAGTCTGTATATTGTAGTTCTTCAACTGACATCAACTTTGTTCATCGTATTTTATTCGGCATTTGTTAAAGTAAGTCCTCAGCGTCTGCAATGCTGTTTTACCCAATTTTCTATCACCAATGTGAATTTGCAATTCGAGTCATAACTGAGTTCCAACCGATAATAGGAAAAAGCTGTGGAGAGAGAGCCTTGATTTTAAAGCTAGCTCCAACAACGAACAACAGGCTGCGCTAAGTTTCCTTTACACCTGTCTCTGAAGTTTCATGCATATGCGTGTTGATTTGTGTAATTCGAGCTTTCAAGTGGATAGAGTACCAGCCATATTTTTGAAGCAGCTCACGTCAACAAAGAAACACCAGCTCAAACTCCATTATTTATGGCATTGGTAACCAACCATGCATAATAAAAGTAACCTATTTATATCGTCTCCACAGGACGCCAACAAAAGTATTTCGATCTCATTGTACTTTGAAATTCATTCTGACACAAACTGTTGCCCCAGAAGTTTACGAAAGAATGAGAATTACTTGTGCCTTGCTGTGCAAGCCTCCGCGTAGTGTACGTATACGCACATGTTTTTCGTTAAAAATGTGGAAGCGCAAGCGGAAGAGACCTTTGCAATGCAGTTCAGCAAACGCCAAGAAAAAAAATTTATCAAAAGTCGTCCACTTGTTCATAAAGAGATACAAGTCTCGCCAGAGAGTAAAATCTAGTTCAAGAGAAAATCGTATTTGGAGGCGGTCTCTTATTCAAACGCTTCTTTCCTAGGTATTTAGCATTCCTTTGACGTAACCAATGATACTTCCTGAAAGACGGGATCTTAAATGACACAAAACTACAAAATACTTTTTATAGAAATCAATTTGTTTAATAGATCAATTTACGACTTCTGACAAACGACGCACCTGTTCAGAGCATTTTTCAAGAATGCAAACTACATTTTTAAACATGTCAAACACTGATAAACACTTAAGGTCTTATCTACAGCTTAGATATTTCCCGCATCCGTGCATTTAACCTAACTTTTGCCGTATGCCCCCTACAAATTTGCACATAATTGGATATATCTATTGTTGGTTATATCTAAACATACTTCTTACAGAGATGCACACATCTGTGCGTCCCTTGAAGATATTGCGCTAGAGATTACACGCGTGCTGTAAGAGAGGAGAATAACTTGTTTTGACAAGGTGACATCAAAGAACACCGAGCCGACACGAGATGGTGGGGGCCGGTGCCAGGCAGTGAAAACTGCAAAACTGCTTTGTCACGAACTTGGCCTAGATCCGTTCACCGATGTACCATGTTTAAGTTTAAAAAAAACAAAACAAAAAAAAACCTTTATATATTTCCGGAACCCAACTGTTGATTTCAGGGACATTGAGGGGCTGCAGGCCGTTGGTCATACGCAAGAGGCTACTCGCGAGACATGCGCTCATTGGTCGTTTAGACACTTCCCCTGGTTCTGCACGAAACGTAATTCATTCCAAGGCCTTATGATTATGATATGAAAATCAAGGTTGTCGGGGGATTATGGCTTCGCATTTACTCCAAACAAATTCTAATGAGTGATCACATGACTTGCGCCCAGAACTTCAAGAGGATTCAGTCCTTTCAAATATTTTAATTCAAAAATTAGGATTCTCTTTATGGCGTTCATTTTCTTATAATATTAAAAAAAGGCAAAATCTAATATTTATGCACATATAGCAAATTAAGAAAGGATATCCAAAAGATTATATCAAATCAATGTTCATATTTAGCACTTAGATAATTTCCTGTTCATACTGGAAAGACACCTGCGTAAACAAAAAAGGATTTGAAAAGACACATCAGCAGTGATGGTAGGTAAGGGTTCTGAACTGACACATCTGTTTATCGTGGGAATCGTGCAATTTACGCCCATAAAATCCCGTTCGAATTGACAGCGTCTTTCGTCAAACTGTCAAATAAACGCATCAAGTTCAAAGTACTTGATGTGATGCGACGTAATCAAAATCAGGGATCCGTCAAGGATTCTTGCTGCGTTGCCTCCAAAGCAATTATCGTTCCTTTCTTTAGGCCCAGTGGTCCTAAACGAGTATTTTTTGGAATGCTTAAAGAAACTTTATGCCTAAACTATTTGTGCAATATCTTAGTTAGACGCCGTCACACGCTACTTACCATCTACAAAGACGCCTGTTTCAAGGTTTTTCCTCTGCCATTGGAAAATTGGCTTACTTCCAGCAATCAAAATGTGGTTTTGTTCGTGGGCAAAAAATAAAAGCAGTGGAATTAAATCAACTATATGTCAGTCGTTAGCACCAGTGCAAGGTGTTAATGGGCACATGACCTCCTGTCCTAAATTCTATGATAATGACGTTGAAATTCATGTTCCCAGAACTTTTAATAAGACGATGTTTCGCTTGACTTTTACAGCCTGCAACAAGAAACCTTCACCAGGTTTGTACGATCATTTGGATAAGTATAAATGATGAATGTTGTTAAGAACATTCCCAGAAGGTCCAAGACATTAACCGCTGAATAGAAGGCACGCTATAGATTCGCAAATATCCAGAAGCTGACGATAGACCAACAATGTAAAGCCCAAGCGTTGAAAGTAAACCGAAATCTGTAGCAGTTTTAGAACATTTTGTCACGTTTATGCTTAAATACATACGAGATGGTCATATGCTAAACACATTGTTTATTTAATAAACGCAACGTAAGTTTATTGTTTAAACATTGGTTAATTAAGCATAGGGTTTTAAACTCTTCGTAATTATAAATCCGTTTGTGTGTTCATCACTTAAACTCCTTCATGTGTCTAGGCTGTAACACTTTTTATACACTTTGACACTTTTATAAAAGCTGCAGTGTTTATTACCTGCACATTATTAGTAACGATGACACACACGTGTTCAAGTCAATGACGTGAAGAGTGGCAAGCCAACTGCTACAACTCAACATGGGAACAGAAACGGTTGAAATACTGTTGACAAACCTTACTTTTTCAGAAGATTATTACCTATCTTAGGTCCTGAAATATCTGTGCACGTTATATGTACGAATCTGTGTAGGAAACGAATAAATGCAACTCTAAACAGTCCGCTTTCTCTATATTTGATATGATAAATATGATATTGGGAAATTGGACAAAGTCTCAAACTTTCAATTAATAAAAATAAAAGTTTAAAAGCTGCCGGAAAACTGACAAAGGTAAAATCTAGAGCTTACAGCGTAGCCATATTCAAGGTTTCAACTTCTCCGGGGTTCAGCAGGGTCAGTTGAAATCACTCAATTCGTAAGATATTTGTGCAGTGAGAAGGAAAAAGATAATGCGTCTATAGCTAGCCGGGCAAAATACCGGGCAAAATAAATATCTTTTTGTTTGCCAGCCAGTCAACCACTGTTGCTACTGCTGCGGTAGAATTCTTTTGCCGGAGGGACGATTTATTGGCATTCGTCGCTTTTTTCATCATGTACACAACTATAATTCGTAAGCCGCCTTGGCTAAACAAATTCAAATAAAATAAACGAACATATCTGATAGTATGCACTTTCTCGATATTCCCTCAGCGAAATCGGGCTGCATGCCCACGGAAGAAATGTCAATCACAAATTTCTTTGGTCTTGCATGTTGCTCAGTCCTGCTTACTCCCTCCAGAAAGGTAGTGGCGTCGTACATGCCCTGCTCCGCAAAATCGTAAATAGGCATTGTTCTGACCAATCGACGCGATAGCAGAAGCGTGTTGTCAGGGACCGGGAGATTTCCTTGCAGAACCGGATAGCTGTTGCGTATTTTTTCCGCTGAACCTTACGACCTTTACAAAGTTGTGTAGAGACACTGATGCTGAAGGTACTTTTGACGTTTTAAGGTGTGACTTCGGCTTCTTTTCCGTTTCTATTGGAAATATCAGTAGAGTTTCATTGTGTTTTTTACACTGAAGGTTCTAGATTTTTTATAGCCAACATGGATGCTTCACATGAATCAATTTCCGTTCGGCAAAAATACCAACCCAAAAATTAGAAACGCCACTTTCAGATACGCGGATTTTAAAAATATTCCATTGGTCTTTATTTGTCATTGCCACTTTTTATTTTCATTTCATTTTCTTGTTATAAAGCAAAAACTGAATTCTTGTCGACTCCAAATTCATGTTTGTGAAATAGTACCAGTTCGCATTGCTGAAAACGGATTGTTATTTCTTTATTTTTCTGAAAATACATTCCGAAATGTCACCAAAAATCGTGTTTGTAGTACTTGAAGTGAAGAAAACTCGTACATCTGTTTATGTACCTTTGCTCTAACTTGCAGGTCGGTCGGTTGTAAACTGAACGAATTCGAAGCTTCTCATGATGGGCCGTGGTTTCTTCCACTATCCAGTCGCCTTCGGGCTTTGCTTTACTGTCTTCATGGTCTTCCAAGTCAGCGTGGGGATCTACATTGGCGGTATCCTCACCACACTAGAGAGGCAGTACCGCATCAAGTCCTCCCTGGCAGGCGTGGTGGTTTCCACCAGCGACTTTGCCAGTTTGATATCAATCATAGCCGTGACGTACGTCGGAAAGAGCTGGCACAGGCCGCGGATCATTGGGGTGCTGGCGACCATGACCGGCATCGGAGGGATTCTAAGCGCAGTGCCACATTTCATCTACCCAGCATACAGAGAGGGTGAAGGTGGGTTACTACAAAGCGCCAACGGATCAAATGCAACAAGGTATATATAATCCATTTAGAGCGCTAGTTAACAGGTTGGCACAAAAGTTGAACTTACCAAAGAATTAAAAACAGTGCTGCTTAGGACAGTTTTACAGCTTGGATAAGCTAACAGTGGCCCACACATGGAGATTTTTATTTTTACGTCAGTAATTTACGTTACTTTTTTCTCCAGGGCCTAAGCTTGCCTTCATTGCGCTTACTGCTTAACGGTCTCTGTTAAATAGATCGCGCCTGTATTAACACAAAACGAACTCCTTAGCAGGGCCATGATTCGGCTAATCTTATAAAGTGATCTTGTTACCTTCACTGTAGCTGCTGCTGTTGTCCAGCTTGCTGCATTGACGCCTCTTAGGACTAGCTTCACTTAATCTTTAAGTACATGTATAAAAATTAAAAAAAATTGTTGGCGCTACAAATCTGGCACGTTAAAACACCAGATTCAACAGAAAGACTGCATGATCATTTTCCTTAATAAATGGCAAAAATGTTCTGTTGTACAGTAACTGAACAAGTGTCACTCCATTTGCGTCTCCATACAGAACTCCTTACGCAGATTGGAGACCAGACATTGTGAAAATTGTCAGGAGAGTATTTACTGGGTAACATTTGTCGCTATTTTGCTCCTAGTTCCAGCATCTTTGTCTGTGATGCTGGCCGGGAGTTGGAGGAATGCTCGGCACAGGATATCGATGAGTCTGGCTCCCGAGTTGAGGAGATGTGGGCCCTGTTCCTTGGCCAGGCCATCATGGGTCTGGCCTACGGACCACTGTTCCCTATCGCTCTGACATATCTCGATGACCAAGTGAAGGGTACCACTACACCTTACTATATCAGTAAGCCTGTTTTCTTATTACATCTCTACCTAAAAAAAAGCGAAACGTTTTAAACCACATGATGACATGGTTCGATATCAGGGTGTTCATTTCACACCATACGTTTCCGGTGTATATACACCATTCAGTTGTAAACGTTTAAATTCATTACACTTTTTTGTTTTTGAAGCTGGTTATATCATGAACATATTGCGACCTGATCAGTTTGTATAATGTAATGATCAATGTATAATATTGAATTATAATCAAATAACATTAAAGTGTAACTTCACTTGGAATGTCAAGTATGATAATTTCAAAACCAGGTTTATGTGCTAAAATAAGGAATTCACTGCAAATCGCCACTCATTCAAGGTGACATTGCAAATATCAGCGAAATACTTTGAATTTTTGAAAGTCAGCCATTTGGGTAAGAAAACTGCAGTTAAATAAAAGGAAAATATGCCTCTGACAACCTTACCCTTTCTGTGGCTGTCCTCAAAAAGATGACGTTGAAAATCAACGGGAGTAGATTCCCCAAAAAATATTTAAATATTTTAGTCAGTTTTTACGTTTCGTGTTGCTGACTTATCTCCAATTACAGAAGTACAAAGACTGTCTGGCAGGAAACATGACTGTACCAAATGAACTACCCAAAACCTCTTTATACATGTTTCCGGGCAATGTTCACCACATCCTGGAAAAAGCGTTGAGGATATTATTTGGGCATTTGAATATAGGTATTCCTCCAAGAAGTTTAAAAACACCCACTGTACATCACTGTCTTTTCACAGTTCATTTCAGCCAAACTTGGACAAAGCAATCTTCCTAAAATGCTGAGAATTGAAAAGCAGTGGTGTGCCAGTGCAAGTGAATTCAGCATCTGACATATCAATCGCACTGATGCAGATAAAAACGTTGGTGGGAAGTTATTGCTGGTGTTAATGTTTTCAGAGAAAGCCCTGAAAGGTATATAAATCAACAAGCTGCGTGCGTTTCGTCCACACAGCGCAGGAACAACAATTGTGTACAAATGGTAAAAACAGTAATCCTACCTTTAAAAATCGGACTTTTATGCACCTTGAGGGGCCAAAAAAAGACCCATGAGACTGTTTGTGTGCAAATCATTTCATTTCGAATCTCTTGTGTCAAAGGATTTTTTGGGGGTGGTGTTTTTACGCTATAAAAAAGCATTCAACCTGCGCGTAAGCTGGCATGCAAAGGCCTCGCCAAACAACAACATAAAAAACTATAAATCTCCTTTCCTTTTTCATGCTACAGCTAGTTTGATGTCAGGTCTCGTATTACGGAAATAATGTTCCGATACTCATTTTCGACATAAATCCAAACAGGTGACTTTTAGTTTTTTATGTAGCCTATGGGAGAGCCACATGCGCCCCCTCCCTCACTTTTCTGTGCCTTTCAGGTCCTAAAACGCCCTTTGGATGTCAAATGGGGGAAAAGTCAATGCTCCAGGACAACGGCCAATATAGCTGCCAAAATATTATAATAAAAGCATAAATGGTAGCTACATTTTTTACCCTCACGAAATTCATCTCTGGTCTCCCTCTTCTGCTATCATGTTTTAAATTCTAGATAGGCAACCAACTTGGCTGCCAGAAGTGCCCAAATGTGAGAAAAACGATACACTTTCGCTAAAATATACATGATAATTTGTGTAAATGAAATCGTGAGGTATACATTTATGTTTTAATACATTTCAGTGTATTACCGGCATTGTTATTTTGCTACTGTGCACCAATTCAAGATGGCTGCCAAATGTAGCCATCTGTGTGATATAATTGGCCAAAATATACATACATACTTCCCTGTGTGTTTCAAGAGAATCTACGGAGACTGTTTTCATAATGTATGAGACCGTGTACCCACACCTAATGAATGCACTCTTCACAGTGTGCATATCTGATTTTTCGACATTTGCAGTGACCCAAATCACAGCATGCAATTGGACTACTGTCAGTCAAGTAGGCCTACGGTTCATCTCCGTCTCTTCGTTGAAACTGTCCCTTTGAGGCTCGATTCCTCTCACACAACATCCACCCCTTCTAAACAGCTTTCTAATACAATCCCATCATCTGTTCCTCTCGGGACACTCTGTCCCTACTGCAGAGATAGTTTGAAGGAGTATCCGTCAGCTTTTATTTCTTTCCGTTTGATACTTGCATTTAGCAGCAATTAAACTGACCTTAAGTCGCTTTCAAATCTCTCCAGATGGTAATCCCAACTCGAGAAAGTTAATGACAAAGTGATTTCTTAATGCTGAGCTATAGTAGCCTTTCTAATACTGATCAAGGTGCACATAATCTGCAGGTTGAGTACAGCATATCTCGTATTCATTATTCCAAAGCAAATTCCAGGATTACTGTTTTATGAAATCTTTCAGCACAGTCATTCCACAAAATGGCTTACCGTCACAGGAGAAGGCACCTGCATTCTGGAATATTAAAGCACCAGAGCTCCGGTCCCGAGATGATTTATGTATACTTTTGACCCTGCAGCTTTCAGCCCAAATAAACACATTCTAAGCATGATTTAGATATAATGTTAAATTGACGACGAGTTACTTCCAATGAAACAAACAGAGAAAAGGGCTGGTTTTAGGGACTAACTGAGTCTAAAAAGATTTGAGTAACATTCTTTGGTGCAGGTGCACGCAGATTATTTTCCAACTGAACTTTTGACTTGATCTGTACTCGATGTGCAGGTGTCTTCCTGACAGCCGGCTCATCCTCCACCCTGGTGGGTTTCGGCCAGGCCTTCTTGTTTCTCACGACCAATGTCAACTGGCCTGCCCAGCCCGACTACACTAAGGAGTGGATCGGAGCCTGGTGGTTGGGCTTCCTCGTGGACGGAGTGATCATCTTGATTATCGCCATCCCTTTCTTCTTTTTCCCGAAGGAGATGGATTTCAAGGTGAGAGAGGAGGACATACCGCCTGAGAGGCTGGCCAAGGAGGGAAAAGACGGCCAAGCAAGCAGTGATCTTGGAGTCAAAGGTAAGACTCAAAAATCAACATATGTTCCTCGCTTGACGCTAAAAGAAGAATGGAAGTGAGACGGCTTCCATCGGTCTACATATGGGGTTTGTGCTCACTTTTTAAGACCCATGATGGGTGTAAAAAAATTCATCTCTTCACTTCTGCACGGGTTATGATGCCATCCAAAAAAGGAACATTTGGTCCATTCCCGCATTCCCACTTTGGATAACACCTTGTGACACACAAAAGTCATTAGACGTCCGACAGAGCACGAGTAATCAAAGACACGAAACGTTAAGCATCCATTTGGTTTTAAACGAGCCGTACATTTATCACGTGTCTATTTACTTGTCCCAATTATTCCTCCCCGTCAGATTTTGTGGCGTCCTCTAAGCGGATCGGCACCAATGCTGTTTTCATGATGCTCCTCGTGTCAACCATTTTTGAGCTGGCGGTGTCCGCATCCTTCGGGTTTTTCTTGGCCAAGTTTTTCGAGATTCGGTACAACACGGCCCCGTCGTTTTCAGCCTTACTTGTCGGTAAGTAGTTCTTCCTTGAGCTTAAAGAATGTCCTCAATAATCAAGGTGAGCAAACACTTTTTTAAAAAATCTGAAAATTTAGACTGAAAAAGTTTTTGAGATTATCATCAGTTCCCAATCCTAATCTAGATGCTTCCTCTTGTGAAGTAATAACCAGTCAGTCAGTCAGTAGCCCTAAATCAAATCCCTGTTAGTTTGTAGATTCTAATAACAAGGAAAGTGTTTCTAATCGGAACTGAATCCCCATTTAATACATGAACGAGTCTGGTGACAACACTACGTCTAATAAGCATGACCTTCACCCCGTATTGACACCTAGTCCAGCATAGTGTAATTGTCTCGCAGTGTTACATGTAGCTCCAAGCATCAGTGACGGCGTTGGCCTTCATGAGATTTCACAGCCACAAAAGAAACATCCACATTTGGGGCTATTTTCCTTTTTCTTGTGATTTTTTTTAACTGAAGCTTTTTACAAATGAAGAACATTTTTCTCCCTTCAAAGCAAGGTATTAAAACTTCATGCTGAGACCTATCCAAAAAGCAAGGAGAGATGAAAAACAAACTGTGTTCTGCAGTGGACACCGTAATCAGTGGCAAACAGTCCATGTCCCGTCTCTCTGATTCTGATGGGTGTACTGTTTTATACACAGGGATAATCGTGATGCCAGGGGCACTCCTCGGCAATCTTACGAGCGGAGTCCTCGTCAAAAAGTTGAAGCTGACATCACGTGGGTGTGGGGCTATGATCCTGAGCCTAACCGCCTTGGTCATGTGCTGCATCCCGGTGGTGTATTTCCTGGGCTGCCCGGAGGCAAACTACGCCGGTTACACCGACGGCGTTTTAAGGTAGGGGGCAACTACTGAGGCGAACCAATACATTTCAATGAAATCCTCCGCTGATTTGCTGAGTACACCTGTATTCCATAGTCTTGTTACCGGTTTTTAACTCTAGTGCCTGTTAAAGTGCGTTGTTGAAATGATAAGAGATCTGACAACTACCACCATTTGTTTCTGCTAATGTAACACGGGGCAGATTTGCACTTGACGAATACTCGGGTTTTTTGAGTCTTGTATATACAAGCCTGAAAACAATTATACTTCAAGGGCATATTAGTTGCTCCATCAGGCTACTATAGTGGTTCTTATAACATTTACCTCAAGGCAAAACCTTTGCGTTGAAATCCTCTTCAATGACGTTGAGTCTGTCTATTCTTGGCAGCATTTCAAGCCCTTGTAACATGGACTGTACCTGCACCATCGATCGATTCGAACCGGTGTGTGGAGCTGATGAGAAGGTGTACGTAACTCCTTGCTACGCCGGTTGTACCGGTCAGCGCTCGGATCCGACGGACGACCCTGCTGTCAATGCCACGGTAGGAAGAATGCCAAAGCATTTATGCAAAATAAGTTAGCACAGTACTTAATTGACGGACATAAAACCCATAAGAGCTTTCTGCGAACTTGAAAACAACGTGACACTTCCGAAACAAATCCAAATACAATTTCATTGTACATGGACAAGTAAATTTTGAAAAGACTTCTGGAGAGTCGATAACTCCAGGAATGTTCAATGCCAACAAACCGCTGAGAAAATGTAGCCCTAAATCAAACTCAACTTGCCCAACACCTTTCGCAATCATATCCTGAAATTGGAATTCAGTCAAAGACAAGTTTATTCACTGTCACCAAACAAGACTCAGTAGAATTTCAAGTCTCAATGCAGTCGAGCTTAAAGCTATTAGTTGCTGCAGATCAGCTTGTGAACTAGCTATTAGTTGATATTCCACGATCGGAGCTGGCTGATCTTCAGAATCTTAAGGTTCGGCTGTTACTCTTGGTATCCCTTTCCAGGTTTATACTGGTTGCACCTGCAGTACAGGGTACAATGCAACCGGTCCGTCTTCCACTGACGCCCTTGCTGGGAAGTGTGTGGGTACTTGCGATATGCTCTACTACACAGGAATATTACTCTTCTGTATTGTCTTGTTTGGTTCCATGACGCAGAATCCTCTCACAATCATGCAAATGAGGTACGCCTTTGCCAAAATAACATGCGTATTGAAATATATAATGCAAACGGTGTATTAATTGTGCGCTATTGTAACGGAATTGCCGTGTCCAGTGGGGTACATTATACGCAACTTCCTTCAGATCTTACCCACTCGACTACCGTATTTTAAGGGGGTTTGAACTTTGAAGTATTCGTGCTTTGGACAAGTCACAAGTTTAGTTCTGTGTGGAAAACACATTTAAAAATAATCACTGGTACTCTACGCTTCCACTCACTAAACAGCACTTTTCTCTGTGCACAGTCAACCGAACACATTTGTGGTTTAACGGCATCTGCTTTTAATATTATTTTGACGTGTTGTGAGAACCGTATTTCCAATCTTTATGAACTTTGTGAAAGGAGTGCAAAACAAAGAACTGAAATTTCCTGTGTGATCCCTGAAGGCACAACAATATTCATAAAGGGATATGGTTAATAAATCTTATCAAACAATCGAATATGAACAACTGCGGTTGAGAAATGACATTATGACCTGCAACAAACAGCTATAGTTGTAGCGGTCTGTTGTCCCCGTTAGAATGACCTTTTCGAAGCAGGAAGAGGACAAGCTCTGATTGACTTTTTACCTAGTTTCACATTCTGGGTTATAAGTAAACGGAATACTAAACCCCTTCAAATTCACGGTAGACACTTGTGACAGCATGGTACTGGTGCGTTGGTACACCCCAAAATCGTCTCCCATTAAACAAGTGTATTTGAAATAGGTCGCACCTTTCAACATAAATGCAAGGCACTCAGAGAGAAGAACCTGTTTGTACTGCATTGATTACAGGCCAGCCAGATAGTACAAGCGCCATGTTATTACCTAGAACGATACAGCATAGCGAAATTGCCTTGTTCAATATAGTTATTTTTGTTGTTTATGCAGATCTGTTGGAAAAGATAAGACTTTTGGTCTCGGCATTTCAGCCTTCTTCAGTCGCGCATTAGGTGAGAACTTATATTTTGGCAAGCGACGAAACAAGAAAGGTATAGTTGTGAAAATCCAACCTTATCTCGCTGGCATGTAACAATTAGGCCTACTTTCAACGAAACAAAAGGTAACCGAAATTAATGAATCCATGGTACAACCACAGCGTAAAGATGTAAAATCTATATTTGTCAACGAAATAAACCGGTTTGATATTTCAAACAAGCAAGTCAGAACAAAACATAGTGCGAGTCGTTGTATTGAGTCCGTGTACGTTTTGTTCATTCGTTTTTTATTAAAAACGAATGTCACACGACCAAACACAAGTCGTTTTCCATTTTTCGATTTGAAAACGAAAATCAGAAATCAAAATCAAGTATTTTTTCCGTTTTGGTTTGAAAACGAAAGATAAGAAAAAAGACGAAGAAGTCGTTTCTTGTTTTTCCTGCTGAAAACGAAACACGGAAGTAATCTTGTTTAATTTTAATCTCAATTAATCCCACGTAATTTCAAGGTATCACGGACGTCTCTGAGCACTTCTCAAGATAAAAGTTGTCTTTGAGCATGCGAGAAATGTCTTTGTGAATTGTTCCTCCTTTTATTTTATAACCACCGAATTCCTCATATTCTTCTACTCCAGCCGTGAGAAGACGTTTCTTACATTACGCAATGAAATTGGAACTGTGTCTCATTCTTGGAGCAAGAGTTTTGTTCGCTTTCACGAAGAAAAACGAAAACAGAACGTGATTATCGTTTTTGTTTTTCAAATGAAAAGCGAGAATGAAGCGACTTGTTTCTGTTGTCATTTTTGTTTTCAAATCAAAAACGAGGAACGACTTGTTTTTTGATTTTCATTTTTCGTTTTCAAAGCGAAAAATGGAAAACAACTTGTTTTGGGGTTGTTTGATTTTTTTTATCGAAAAACGAATGAACGAAACGTACACGAACCGTATTGCCACGCTGATAGGGCAGACCCTGCGCTCCTATAGACCCCTTGCAGCTGGTACTCTGTAATGTTTTACAGAGTTTTACCTGACATAGCAAGGAACCATTGAAAAACGTGAAAATCAGTCCCTATATTGCTTTTTCCCGACTACCCTGGGACGCGCTTCATTTGGGGCATGAAACTAAGTCATTGTAGTGGGAAGAATGTTTCACTTTTCCAGGGAGGGATATATTCTTGAGCAAGAAAACAAGACTGAATTTTTAAAGTCTGCATCTTGTGATGGGAATAGGATACCGAAGAATGTTACTGACTTGTCCTCTACACAGGATTCCTCCCAGCCCCGCTGTATTTCGGTGCAGCCATAGAGGGTGCCTGCATCTTGGAGCGCATCGAATGCGGCGTCAGCGGTGACTGCCTCATCTATAACTCTCAAGTCTTCAGTCTAACATTCCTTGGCATCTTCTTTGGCCTGAAGGTGAAAACAAAGCTGTCACTTTAGGGGAATGAAGCATCCTCAATTGCAGTGACGTATGTCTGACGGGTGCTTGGGGTTTACCTCCCCATTTAGCCCCATCCCAGAATTTGAAAAAAGGGCCTTTTATCTTAATGCAGTAGTTTGAAGGTAACCTCCATTTAAAAACTAATGTTACAAAAAATGGGTGTTTCCTAAATTCTCTGACTTTCCAGATAAAAAAATCAAAGGTCTTGTCTAAGAGATGACACGAATAAAGTTTCTGAGATATGGGTCCTTTTTGGATCATGCGTGTTTATGTCTCCCTAATGATTCTTGTAATGTTTTAACATGTTTTTACTTTTTAATTTCACGCTCAGATATGCAACCTGTTCTTCTACTCCATTGCCACTACCGCAGCAATTAGGCGCGACAAAAGAGCGAACCGTGAATCCCAAAACGACGAGAAAACCAAGGTAAGATATTCAGATGAGAAAAGAACACACCAAATGTTCGAAATCAATACTGTATAAAGTAACCAATAAGGCCAGTAAAATGCTTACAAAATGCACTTGATATTTCTGACATCAGTTCTTGGCGCACAGTTCTCGTGAGCACGAGTCTCTACGCATCTTCCTTTCAGTAGCATATCATACACTTTCACTTATATGCTTCACTAATGTTGGTCCTTGCCGGATGATAGTTTTGGATCTCCAAGAGGTAATATCCGTAATGTAACGGTGGTCCACATTTTCTTGTCTCTTTCCAGAAAGTTGGCGTGGAAGGGCTAGACAACAAAGGTTTCATTGGTGGTTCTGATTTAAGTAACGTCAGCTATGACACTAAATTGTAATGAGGAAATGTCATTATTTGGTGTAATTCGGAGTAATGGGTTTCCATTGATTTAATCGAATGCCGAGTGACGTCTAACACGCTACAAATTCTACATAACCTTTGAAAGCTGAGTTGTTAATTCTAAGTGCAGAATATTCCCAGAATGAACAAATTCGATCACTATTTCCTTGAAATACATCTATCCCATTCACTATGACTGACAATGCATTGACATCGTTTATTATTACTGCGCAGAGAAGGAAAGATTTCTACATGCTGTCTTGATATTCGCTGGCTTACCAAACTTCCCTTACAACTTAGATAACTACATAAAATATATTTTAAAATACATACTACTTTTCTAGGAACTGATGTTTGATATTTCTTTAAGTTTGATATTTCTTTTCAAAATAATGAATGATTTTTTAAAAACGTGTAAGGCTAAAATCAGAAAACATTTTTGCAGCGTAGACAGAGATATAAGTCTATTACTCCCGCCCCAGTTACTCGATCAGTTGCCAGTTGTAGAGGTTTGCGGTAGCACTGTTTCATTTCATTTCATTTCATTTATTAATTTCTGCAGGTAAAGATACAAACTCGCATGTATAAAAGTTGACAAGAAAAATAGTCGAGCAACAGCCCTGCAGGATTGCAAAAAAGCACACTAAATTACAGTCAAGTTGTCCTAGGTGCCACTTAAACCAAACAATGAAACAAATACATGTATACTGCCTACGGAAAACAGGAAGGGAACTAAACGTATGACACCCATAAAATTAATTTAAAACAAGATTTTCACTTAATTTTTAATCAGTAGGTTATAAATAAATTAAAAAGACATATAAATTAAAAAAGTAATCTTCAACTACTTTTACTCTCACCGACCATGCAAAATATCCATAATAATAAGCCCCCTGCGAACAGCATTGAATGGCAAAAGGCTTATTAACTATGGACAGACAAGACACAAACAACATGCACACACACAAAATGTCACAAGGAGAGAAAGTCAATGTGTTAGAAGTTATCTTCCGAGAGAAATGGATAGTCGGTAAAAAATACACTAGGACGTTTACAGTACAATATATAGGCATGCCTAATGTGTATAAAAATCGGAGTAATGATCGAAGAATTTGTACAAAGCCATTAATTCCCTATGAACAACTATGCATAATAGCCTACACAATGGGCACAAATGTGTAAAAACTGGATAAAAACTGCATCAACCCACACCATTCCAGTAAAAATGTACTACATGGAAAAAATATCATTTATAAATTTGCGTTAGGGTTGCCCGTGAACCTGGCATCAATAAATGTTTTCTTCGTGAGTTAGTAAAACACCTTAATCCTAAAACAAACATGTAACAGAATTGGGTAATGCGGTTAATAGTCTCGAGAATATATTGAAAGAGACTAGTAGAATAGAGCAGCATTAGCCCTCGACCTCTGGTGGTGAAATCTTCATTATTTCTACCGTCCGACAGGTATGTCAAGTTGGTTAGACAAATATTTCACAACAAACACAATAGAAAGAAAGTGGAGTCTGTTGTGTACAAAGGCAAACCTAGCTGGATACACCTTTCAGAATACTCCATCTCGAGTTTAGGATTAACCCTAACCCTCCTCAATCCTTCACCTGTTGGAGGATTGAGGAAGGTTAGGGTTAATGGAGGTCTTTCTCGGGAGGCCTAAACAAAAGCCAGTAAAACGTCATTGGACCCTAACCAAAGTATAGTATAAACAGGGCGCCACCAACGTGCTGCATATTCTAATAATGGTTTGCTGATTGAGCAATAGAGTGAAATGAGAATATTAGAGTCTCTAGATTTAAGAACTCTACCAACAAGACCATTAAGACAAGTAGCTTAGAAAACAATATTCTTAATGTGTTGCTTCCAACTTAAGTCCCTGGAAATAATAACACCAAGATATTTATAGTCATCCACATGTTCCAATACAAAATCCCCAATTTCAGTACAATGGCCTGGGGATTTTTTGAACGCCTATCTAAGAAGTAAGAACCACACATGCTCATAAAGAGATGTCCTTGCATCGTGTTGCCGCAAATCCTTACAACTTACTTGCTACCTCACCATGAAAAACTCCAAAGCTCATCGATCAGTTGTACTTTACATGCAATTTGCAAAGAAATCTTGTATATGCTTTACACCGTTGGTACACTTGAGGTAGAGAACTATATAGTATAGCATAATATAGCATATTATTTAAACAAAATCTTGGTCTTTTGTATTTTTATACGGCGTTTTAATGGGGAATTTTCATTTTGGGCTTAAGAGAATATTACCCAAGCTTGGTTATATAAAAGAAACATAAATAAAACAATAATCCTTTAAAAGTAGATTTTAGCTGGTAATGTAAACCAGTTGTGCTTGATTTTTTGAGCCGAAAATTTTCCAGTAATATGCATGTGTTTTAAGAACTTTTTAAGTACTGTATGTACAGTAGACCACAGAGATTCATTAATGAATTGGAGTTATTAAACAATCTGTATAGGCATAACGTGAAAATTATCCGGTGTCTTTCAATTTCAGTTAGGCGTCTCGTACTTGTTCAATACCTCTTAGCCTTTAATATGGATTTAAAGCTGAGGATTTTATTCCTTATTGGCTTTCAAACAGTCAGAAACTTTGATGTGAGGTAACAGAAGACTGAAAACAGCAAAAGATGGCAATGCTTAGGAAAACACTCTGCCGAAATTCACTTCAAGTTTCCAACAAGACATTGGTATACGGAGTGCATCCACATTTTATCTTACCAAGATAATGATGATTACCAAAACATTAAGCCAACTCTGATGAAACATTAATAGATTTTATTTTACATTTACAAACCAGTGATGCATTGTTTTAAAATTAGTTCTCAGTGCACCAGTTCTTATTAAAAATGTAGATTCAGAGGCCCATGTATTTATTACGAAAATTAAAGTTGGATTTTCCTTGCACACAATCTGCACTCTGTGATTGACAACGGTGGCGTAATTAACCAACGCCTATTAGCCATTTATTTACGTTTGCGCAATGTTGAATGTCTGGAGATGAACTTTAACACCTGTCCACATTGACCATAGCTTGGTGTAATTACCCGCACAACGTGAGGAGCGTTTCCCCGTCACAGTTAATGGGATCACAAAGACATCAGGAATCGCCTGATGCAGGGGTCAGCATGAAAACAGACCTTTGCTGCTCCCAGATATCTCCATGCAGGTTAGCCAGACATCAATGATAATGCAGAATCAACATTCTTTTTCGACAACTGTAGCAAAACAAATTCATTTACTAAGTTTTAAAAATCGTACCAACCAATGCAAACCCTCGTACCCTTACACGTTTTACATTTGGCACGTATAGAGCAAAGGAGAACACATCAAATTCTTTAAATAACGTTTTCCTGGTCTATGCATATTCTAAACAAACTAACTGTATACTTACAGACCTTACAGCAAAGCAATGTGTCATTCTTTTTGTTTCTCACAATAAGAATTACCACAAGATCAATTTATACGAAACAAGTTATGGGACAGCAACCAGAGCTTTAAAACCGTCCCTTGTTTAAGAAGCGCAAACAGGCTCTAAATCAATAGGTCCATTGCAAAGTTGACGCCAGACAAACTGTTGCGATGATACGTCAAAGCACCGCTTAAGTCCTGATATTCTCTAGAAGCCGGCACACTCGACTGAAGGGCCTTTACTGACTAGTGTTACTGCAAAAAAATATCAGGGCACTCAATCCTGTCCTGAAACCTTGAGATGAGCGGTACATATTTAGGTTTCTCAATCTCTGAATCATAAGTTATGAAATATTTTCAACCACTCACCGTGGCTTTGCAATGACAACTGACTTAACCTCCATTAACAACTGGAAGGAGAAATTCAGATATGTTGAGCGTGTCGCACCCTTGCAAAAAGTACAATTCTGATGGAAGCAATTTTTTTTTAATTTCCTCAGATAGGGATTTTTTCCGTATTCCTTGCATAAATGTTTCTTTTACCTTAAAGGAAATATACATGTGCCGATTCGTGAACTAAAACTCCTAATGTAGCAATCACTTTATGAAGACAATATACATTGTTTCGATGTACCAGTAGACAATGTATGTCTTTATTCTTTGGTGTATCCAGTCAATGACTAAAATCGATGAAATGTTATCCACCAGTCCAGAAATAAGTGTTGAGCCGTATCTAACTTCTCCCTTGTCGGTTATGCAATCCAGACATTTAGCCACTAAAAAATAAAGTGCAGGAGCAAGAACGATTCATCTTGGAAATAAAAGAAAGAAATGTGAACAGTTCTTCGATTGAACTATGCCATGAAACTCATATTAATATTTATCACCTGCTCCAATGATTTTCTTTAATTCGACCTCCAATAATTGTTGTTCTCGTCTGTCTATGTTTGCAGTGTCTGCAGGTACTGAGGAAACAATAAGTGTGCCTATCAAAGTGCACTTAGTCTGAATCATTTTATAATTATCAGTAGAGCACCATTTACTTTTCCGCTGATTTTTACTCCATCGACAAAAAGAAGATAACTACTGCATAAATATCCACTTAAGGGTGCAAGTAATATTTTGCCTTTTCACATATCATATGGATTTCAGAGCTATTTGTGTTTTTTTAATAAAGGATAATTCCTTCAAGGCTTGCTGATGGTGCAACTACTTTTTATACATGGAAATGCCTCAAATATTCACTTGAGCTTAAATGCCTTCTACACCAGTTACCAAAGGGTACCTTACACAACTGGAAGTGGTAGAATGACTGTTATTTACACCCAGTTGTCCTTTGGACTTGCTCGTTTACCAAAACACATCAAAGCTCCGCTGTTGAACCAACCCCCTTTGTTGTTCCCACAATTGGCAGTAAAAAAGACACCCGTCATCTTCCCCGGTCCATATCGTCAGCTATTTCATCCGATAGCATTGTTGGTCCTGTTTGTCAACCCAGACCCTCGTATATATTAGTAGTAGTGATTTTCCACCCTTTTCAGAAGCAACACACTAGAACTTGACGAGTAGATTGATTATCTTATCTTAATATCCCCAACGCTGTGGCAATAAAGGGGGGGTCACACAAGTTTCAGTCACTCTGATCTCATGTCCTGCATTTGCCATGTTGCAAAATGGTTGCCACTCACTGCTGACAAAGACTGTTCAACGTCTCCATCAACAAAGAGTGATTAAAAATTATGAAAAATGAATAGGAGAAACTGCACAATGGTGTTAACCAAAGGGATAAATAAAATATGATAAAAAGTTCAAGGACCGTGAACGTTTTTAATTTTTAGATACAAAAATATACATTGGAAAATGTTAAGAAAAGTTGTCTTTTAATTTAGATGCTCCTGCAATTTCCGTCTGCTGCTTATTACTGTGTCAGGATTCAAATGTACATTTCATCAAATCGAAAGAATATAGTCTTTTCACACACTGAATAAGTTCAAACATTCCCAGACCATCATTATCATCATCATCATCATCATAATCCTCATCATATTGTTGTTGTTGTTCTTGTTGTTGTTCTTGTTGTTGTTGCTCTTGTTGTTGTTGCTCTTGTTGTTGTTCTTCTTCTTCTTGTTCTTGTTGTTGTTCTTCTTCTTCTTGTTCTTGTTGTTGTTCTTCTTCTTCTTGTTCTTGTTGTTGTTCTTCTTCTTCTTCTTGTTCTTGTTGTTGTTGTTCTTCTTCTTCTTCTTCTTCTTGTTCTTGTTCTTGTTGTTGTTCTTGTTGTTGTTGTTCTTCTTCTTCTTCTTCTTCTTCTTCTTGTTCTTGTTGTTGTTGTTCTTCTTCTTCTTCTTCTTCTTGTTCTTGTTCTTGTTGTTGTTCTTGTTGTTGTTGTTCTTCTTCTTCTTCTTCTTCTTCTTCTTGTTCTTGTTGTTGTTGTTCTTCTTCTTCTTCTTCTTCTTGTTCTTGTTCTTGTTGTTGTTCTTGTTGTTGTTGTTCTTCTTCTTGTTGTTGTTCTTGTTGTTCTTGTTGTTGTTGTTCTTCTTCTTCTTCTTCTTCTTCTTCTTCTTCTTCTCTTTCTTCTTCTTGTTCTTGTTGCTCTTGTTGTTGTTCTTGTTGTTGTTGTTCTTGCTGTTGTTGTTCTTGTTGTTGTTCTTCTTCTTCTTGTTCTTCTTGTTCTTGTTCTTGTTGTTGTTGTTCTTCTTCTTCTTCTTCTTCTTCTCTTTCTTCTTCTTGTTCTTGTTGCTCTTGTTGTTGTTCTTGTTGTTGTTGTTCTTGCTGTTGTTGTTCTTGTTGTTGTTGTTGTTCTTCTTCTTCTTCTTCTTGTTCTTGTTGTTGTTCTTGTTGTTGTTGTTGTTGTTCTTCTTGTTGTTGTTCTTGTTGTTCTTGTTGTTGTTGTTCTTCTTCTTCTTCTTCTTCTCTTTCTTCTTCTCGTTCTTGTTGCTCTTGTTGTTGTTCTTGTTGTTGTTGTTCTTGCTGTTGTTGTTCTTGTTGTTGTTCTTCTTCTTCTTGTTCTTGTTGTTGTTCTTGTGCTTGTTGTTTGTTCTTGTTGTTGTTGTTCTTCTTGTTGTTGTTCTTGTTGTTCTTGGTGTTCTTGTTGTTGTTTTAGAGGCAGGAGGAAACCGGAGTACCCGGAGAAAACCTGCGAGAGCGATTATGGACTGGAAACTAAACGTACTAAAGGCTTGGGCTAAGCCGGGACTCGAACCCGGGCCTCCTTGGTGCAAAGAGAGTAAAGAACCGCTACGCTGAAACCCCCCCCCCCCATTATGTTTCTTGTTTAAAAATATACTCTCCAGGTTATTCAACATCGGCAGAGTAGCCCGGGTTTTTTTCTCTTATTTCACCGGGCTGGTTATCCAAGATCATATATTTTTGTTTTCAAAATATACTCTCCAGAATACTCAACACCGGCACAGAAGCCCAGGTTTTCCCTCTTATTTCACCAATACCGAAAGTTTATTTCGATGTCACCTCGAGAGCATAATCCAATCTTACCAACCGCAAACCGGCATTTTTTCTGAAACCTATAGCAATAAACTTTATACAACATTTAGAAAACCGCAAAATTTTTAACGGAAAAAAATTTGACCCTTTTATATCCAGAACTATTTAAAAGAAAATTCCAGTGAGTTGCTTGACGATTTCGATCGATGACACGCGCCCAATCACCACTTATGCTAAACAAAGAAGCATTACAAACTCAAGACTAAGGTCTTACAAATTCAATACAAAGGGGATTGCAAGTAAACAAACTTACTTCAAGCCACCTGTGTGGCAAAACAAACTCTTGACAAATAAAAAAAGGGAAGCTAAGGATGATATAATTACTAAGGTTGGGGGCAGTCAACGAAGACTAACAGACGTACAAAAATTGCCATGGAAGGACGAATAGCCCAAATAATCCAGGTCAAATAAAACCAGTGCTGCGTTCAGCGTTACCTTCTCCAATTAACAACTCGAAAAATCGTTCTAAAAAGAAATTTCTCGTGTCAGTCTTCACTTAGTTAAAATACACATTATTTACGCGTCGAAATATAGTTAAAAGCTTAATATTTAAGTTACAGTTTAAAACTTAAATTTTAAGTTTAAACCTTAAAGATGACTGTACCATTTTTAGTTCATCGGTGGAGAACCCCCTTCGGCGCAGCAAGGAACCACAACAAACTCACGGTTCAGGCAAAACGGCAGGCGTGTTGACACCTGGTTAATTGGCACCAATACCACTGGTGGCTCGCCTGACCGTGCGTTCTGCGTTCATGTAATACACCACAGAGACCTCACTGTGCAGAAATTATGGCACCAGCTAAATTTCCCAATTACAGACATGAAAGTTTTGTTGTCACATGGAGCCCGAATTTATGTGCCATTTCATGTGTGGGTTTTGACTTCAGACATAATCAATAATCAAAGTAATTGTGGCATTTAATGTATTGTGTAGGCTATACGTAACAGCATTTACAAATGAAGGCTTATTACTCCCAGCATCTACAGACGATACAACCTTGTCCCTCCAATTTCCCGTTTATATTTATGTTTAACGTGTCAGTACATTCCCTTAACAATTTCAATGTCATGCAAATACCCCCTGCCAGTTTCTCTTCAAACAAAACCTGCCCATTCACCCAATTTCTTTGCTAATCTTGTTGACATCCTGATATCTACACATTTCTTAATGTCTTCAAGAGAGGGTCCATTTGTTCCAGTGATTAAGAAAACATCATCCAAGTCAACACTCAAACTTAGATAACACCCGAAAATTTGATGAAGAAACATCTCTGGCAATGGAACATATTAGCGATGCTTATCTGCTCAATTTGCTGCTTAATCAGTGACGATCCACCAAAGTACAATCCCTCAAAAGATAAAAAAATAAACCTTTCAGGTTGATCTTCTTAACAATTGATAGAAATTTTCCTGTAATTAATCTAGAATTTCTTTTAACTAGTTCTCTTGCACGCATGGTTGTAGAATGGGTTAACTTTTTGGCGTAACTCTGATCATTTTTATTCTGCTTCAGGCCTAATTTTGATCAAATTTCCTGAAGATTTTTCAGCTAGCGTGCAAGTCTCTCCCA